GTAAATATGCTTTTGAAAAACAGAAATTAAAGAAACTTTGTTTTAATCCTGATTATTACAATAATATTCTGAAACTCGAATGTTTATTACATTATATATGTATATATATATATAACGTATATTTTACATATAAGAGTTTTTTTGAAATTCTTATTACAAAATCGCCATTTAATGTGTAAATGTATTTTAATAAAATATGGTAGAAAATTCAAATTTTAGTAGAAAAAATCTTTAAAATTAAATTAAATTATTTTGAATATTATAGAAAAAACTAAATTAAATAAGAGTAACGTCTTTACAAAATATTTAAAAAAAAAGGATAAAATTTTTTACAGATATTTTGGAATAGATCTTATTCAAGTAACAAATGTAAAAAAAAAAGGAAAATAGAAATAAAATTAAAAATTGAAAAGGAAAATGGGTCACGTTCAAATTTTGTCAAAAAGAAAAATTTAAATAATCATGCTCTATATATACATACGTACATATATACTTATTATATTATGTAAAATATGTAAATAAATAAATCAAGGACATTTGCAATGAAGTTGACTTTTTAATAAGGAATCTATTTTGAGTATTCTGTGTATAAGTTAGTAATGTAAATACATGAATAAACCTTCATATGATTGTTTCAATTTATTCGAAGGTAACAGTGAGAAAAATTATATTTATTAAAATAAAGTAACTTACTAAATGTTAACATAACAAAATACATGTAGACATATGAAGAAAGTGGAGAATCCGCTCAACACTCTTCGATAACAAGCAAAATTTTTCTCAAAACCTAATTATAAAATAATGAAAAAATATTCATTTTCAGTAAGTGAATTTGACAAAATTTATGTATCAATTTTTGGCACTTTTCCAATTGAACAAAACAAATGTTTCACTCTGTAAACGCCCGTCAGTTGTTTCTCTATAGAAGAAAATTATTACCAATTACTGCACACCTACTAAAAGTTGTAGATCCTTAATGTCCTAAAAATTCATTTGTTTAACTATTTATTGTATCGAAACTACAAGCATCACTTCTAGTAAAATTCCAATAAAATTATCCATTATGTAAAATCCATTTTTTTAAATTTTAATATCGCTTTTAATAAGTTACACATGTCTAAAGTTTTTTCTACATAAACTTTGATAGTATAGACGATATAATATACTATAGGACTAAATATTCGATATATAAACTATAGGACTAAATTTTAGCTTTAGGTTACCTTAAATACACTGTCAATTTTACGAAATATAGATAAACATAGCATAGACTATATATAAGCATACACTCACAAATATTTAACTTTATTAAAATGCGGTACTTTCCAGTTTAAAATTTTTGACTAGAATTTTCATAATTAATTCGAATTTTCTTATATGTTTTACTTTTCTTAAAATTTTAATTAATATAGTTGGGTCAGAATAAAAAATAGATCTATATATCATTGAAAACAATTCTCTTAAATTTTCGATTTCCATAGAATTTGCTTTCCCTGAATTTTTCAACAGCAAGTTTTTTAAACGGCAACTCCTATCAATTCGCTACAAATTCTGACTGCACCATTCTTTTTGAAATTTTTTAATTTAATGAATTTTTACTAATAACTGAAAAATTATACTTAAAATTTTCCTATGTTTTTTTTTCAGAAATTCATATTAAGTGTTGGTTAGTCTTGTATTGGTATTGTAGGGAAAAAAATCAAGGTCTCGGATTTTTTTTAAATTTTTTTAATTCAGATTAATCTAATAACAAATTTTGCCAAAGATATAATCATATACGCGTTACAAGTTAGGCCCGTATATGGCATACTTCATAATTTGAATTATCGGCCATTTAGTATTTGTTTCTGTTTTTAAAGTGAACAAAATTTTATTAATTATACAGGTTTTAATTTTACCTTAATAATTTTGACTTGTAAAGTTCTTTCTCTGTTTAGTGATCCAAAAATGAAAGGAAATAATATCTCACTACTCTAGCATAATATAAATGCGAAGTTATTATTGAAATATTATTATACATTTCTTTAAAAAAGAAATGTCCTAATGTATTAGCCTAAAACAGCTTAAGCATAGAAAAGGCTGAGCTCTGTTTTATGAGGCGAATATGAAAATAAAATAAATCGAAAAGAACTGGTGAGTGAGGCTGAATATTTTAACTTTTTACGTTTCTGGCCGATAGGTAAACATGTTTTCCAAAAAAATATTGTAAACTCCAAAAGAACTTTTCAAAACTCATTGCTTCAAATGATTTTGTTTTATAAATTTTTTAACATGTTCCTCAAAATTTCCAATAAAGTTTGAAATTGTTATTAATCTACTTTTATTGCAAAATTAGATTTAAATCATGTTGAAACCATTTGTAACTGGGGAAATGATTTATTTACTTGTAACACAAGCCCGGGAATATAAAACCCTTAGTTGGAAATTAAATTTCTAACACAGATTTAATTCTAAAATTTTCTCGAGATTTTTTAAATTAATTTATTAACATAATTTATTCATTCTGTTTTCAAGTGAACATGTTATAAAAAGATATTTTTAAAACTAATTATTGCCGTTTCAAACTTAACATTCACTAACATTTAGACATAATGTACACACTCAACGCTAAAAAAAATGTAATTTTGGAAATTATTGTTAAGGGAAAATATAAAATTAAAAATATTTTCAAGAATACGTCAGACATCCTTTATAATTTATTAAAAAACAAAAATATATAAAATTTTTGCAAACTAGAAAATTCTGCAAGCAAAAATTTTTTTTCTACAGAAGGGAAAATTTCATCATCACTTTTAAGTTTGCATAATATTATTCTAATTTTAACCGAAATTTTTCTAATTCAACAAAACTACTAACGTTAAATTTGAAAAGAAAAACTTATATTATCGTGATACTTAAAAAGAAATGTTAAATATGCACATACATACATTTAAATTAAATATCTGAGAATGCCAGCTCTTTCGAAATATTTTTGGTACACATAATTCGTTAGGCCACAAGTATCATTAGTTATGTTAGATTTTTGTAATCTTTTTAAATTAAGAGTTACTTCAAATAGGGATTGTATTGAATGTGAACTAAATAATTTTCTGATTGAAACTGGAGCGACTATTTTTCATTTTAAGGAGTCAAATGAAGCTACGACAGCGGAAAACAGATAGGGTGAGTAACCCTGCAAATACATAATAATTTGCATTTATTAATTATTAAAAAATCAATTCAATAAATTTAACCAATTCAATTATTTAATGTGGTCTAGTTATCCATTTATATTATAGAAACTAATTGTTGAATTATTATTATTAGTCTAATATTTCCTGACCGCATTGCATACAATAAAGAAGATCATGTCGAGTTTTCGATATGAACGCACTTCTCCATAGCAGGAAAGTGCAAATAAACTATCTTTCAAAAGATTGCGGTGTGTCTGTCGGTTGGTCTGTCTGTCTGTCGGTTTGTCGGTCTGTTTCTGTATGTACGCGTGTATCTTAAGTTCGGTTGAACCTATTTTGATGAAATTTTATCTTAATCTCGTCTCCTTTAAATTGTAAAGAAGTCTTTAAAACGCACATATAAATTGCACGGTCGGTCATATGCTGAGCACATCAGATTTTTTTTTATTCAATAATATGTTATTATTATAAGAATTTCTTCTATAATTGCCTATCTATAAAATTCTAAATCCTTTCTTAGCTATGTAAGATGATATTGGGATATAGACTCATAATTATGGTGTTAGTCCTAATGCAAATTTGATTTCATTATCTATATATTCTTTGAAATCATAAGATTACTACTGTTTTTTCTTTTAATTAAAATAATTTAATTAATTTAAAGAAAAATCGAAACGTTTAGCTCACCTGGCCACCCTAAATTACCTACATTTTTTTCTTGCTTATTATATTACACACATCTTTTATTCAATGCTAGAATTTATATTTTTCTTAATTTAATGAAAATTTTCTGCCTGAAAATATAATATACATAATACATTGTATTTGCATATATATTGTATACATTATAGCAGGAATTATGTAACATTGTGAATGATCTAAATATATTTCATTTCCATATTTATTTTAAAATTCACATGTAATAAAATATAGATGTACACGTTATGGTGAAGCAATTACATAAGAAAAAATTTTTTAACTAAAAATATATCTAGAATACCATCATGTTTTTATTGAACGTTTTACACACTGTAAGAGAAATGATGCAATGGCACTAAAATTTACATTTCGAGTTTTCAACTGAAATTCATTTTTACGTGATAGAGAAACGTAGATGTCCTTCTGTTTTGTATTTTTAATAGCGTAATCGAATTCGGTTCAATTAAATTTAAAGAAAAACTATCATGTTGCAGAAACTATACTACTATGGGCTGAATAAACATTTTTACACATCACGTATATATTAAGAAAACATTAACCGATTTCTGAGAAATTTAATATTTTAATTGCGGTAGGAAACAACGAATCGAATTATTCATGTTGGCTAATTTGACAATATCAGGACTCAAAAATGAAACTTTCTTTAGAAACCGATTTTACATTTTTAATCAGAGGGCATTTAAACCCTACTATTAAGGGGATTCTACTCTATTAAAAACAAAATTTATAGTTCTTTGTGTCCATTACGAGTATTTAAAACCCAACTAGCTTTCTCAAAATTTTAAACAAATGTTTGAGAGAGACCTCAATAATCTTATGCAACACTTTCGCTTAATCAAAAAATACACTTTACGCTTGGTTATATGATGAGAAAGTAAAATTTTATATTCTAAAATGCCTGTGAACGATTCAGTTAAAACATCGAAATTACAGTTTAGTTGAAACTTAATTAAAATTGATTTTTTGTTCAATTCAGCAATGAAGTCACTTTTTTGGTTATTTTAACTATCTGATCGCAATTTTAACTTAAAAGTTCTATACCAAAATTAACTTAATAGTAACAATTACTGTACTTAAATATTAATTTAAAAAATTAATAAAACTTACCTTCATCTTTATTGCTACCAACGAGTATATCAACTCCATGCAAATCCGCTTCTTTTAACATTGTAATTGGATCAGATGGCATAAATGCACCATCAACTGTAGGTGCAGATGGAAAGCCTAATATACCTGAATATGAATTCCACTGTTGTACAGAAATTGTTTTAGCATCGACTGTTCTCATGCATGCCATTACTTCAAGTGGAAATTCCTAAGAAAAATTCAAAAAATAAGATATGTAAAAAATATATGTAATATACTTAATTGTACAAATGCGCAACTCACCGTTAATAGTGATGAATTACAATTACAATCTTTTATTAATGCTTTACCAATTTCTAGTGCCCTTTCAGAACTCATGTGACTCCATGGTGCATTTAATGTACCAGATTGTAATATACCACGTTTGACTATACCTCTTGTTATCGGTGACAACAAATGTAAATTAACTGAACTACCACCAGCTGATTCCCCAAATAATGTTATCATATCTGGATTACCTCCAAATGCTTTTGCATTATCTTTTAACCATCTTATAGCTAATGCTTGATCCCATAATCCCATATTACCAGGTGCTTCTTCCTCATAACCTTCTAATTCTGGTGCCAAATATAAAAATCCAAATGCACCAACACGATATTGCATTGATGCAACAATAACATTACCAACAGCTGACAAAATTTCTGCTTTATAAATATCTAATGTTGATGAACCACTCATAAATCCACCACCATAAATCCATATTAACATTGGTAATCCAGTTGAATTTTGATTATGTTCTTCTTTACCGTAATGGAACTAAAAATATTTTATCATATTATAAAAGATTAAAAATTATATTATTAGGGTTATAATAATTTGGATTACTTGACGTAATTAAAAGTTTCTCTTAAGCGATTATGATGTATTTGCGATTATTATGATTTGTGATTATTATGAAGCTTTTTACATATCTTATTTTTTGAATTTTCTTTCTTTTTTTGTTAAACTGTAATTTAAATTAAATTTAACATAAATTTGAATATGCAAATGGTATTTTTATTATGAATATTTAAAATATTCTCACTTTACAGAACATAAAGTATACAATTTGTTGAACAAAAACAATGGCGGACTAAGGCTAAAGTCGGCTCTACGCAACATTATCTACATAAATTATTTTTAATGCAAGTTGTCAGTGATTTGATTTTTAAAGCATATGTATAGTAAAGGCTCGATTACCATCACCACATCAACATTTACCATTGTGGAAGAAAGGGAATGCTAGTCGATAATCAACAATTTGGCATAATTTGGATACGTTTCAGTAATAATTATGAATAAGTATTACGTTTCTCTATTAAATAAAAATTGCACAAATAAAATGTTACAATAGTTTTTGAGCCCAAAAATGTAAGAGTCGTGAATAACGTTCGCCACTCCTCAAGGATGAAAAACACGAGTTAACAAAGCAATTTAATGTTCAATCATAAAAATCGTAAAATTCCATTAGGTGCTTTCTAACATAAAATGAAACATTATTTATGCATAAATATCAAACACGTTTTCTTCATAACCAGTCAAATTTTTTCCGATTTCATTTTTAAATTTTTATTAGTTTATTTTAAGCCTATTAAAAACTTTGTTTGTATGCTTTTTTTTCAATTTAATTTATAATAAATTTAAAATTGATCCTATTCATAGTAAAATTTAACTGATTTAAGCGTATTTTGGAATCACTTTCCACTTTATTTACAGATTCCTATCTATTTAAATATTACACATCCAAGGATACATAAAATAATTTTTTTTTCTGAAAAAAGTTAGAAACACAAGCGTGTATTCCCATGAGTTGATGAATTCCTTTTCATTTCTCGTTTTATATCACACATTTTGCACAAGTTCATACAAAGTAAAAACTTGTAAAACAAAATGGCGATATTTGTACTATACCAATGAAATAAAAGAGTAAAGTATTTGAAAAATCGCATTTTTGATTTGTAATTCTTCTATACACAGAGTCAAAGAATGATTTTTCACCAAAATTTGTAAAACATGATCTTAAAGATCAAATAGCCAGAAAAATTGCTTTCGGATTCGGATACCTGTTCCTTAGAATTATAAAAATGAACGAAATTTAATTTAAATTTAAAATATTTTTCTGATTTTGGTGTATTAACAACAAATTAAAACAAAAGAATTCCCAATGAGAAAATTCATTGACTTTTCTTTAAAATCTAATTTTTTTTTAATATGGACATTTTCAAAGATAGCAAGTTTGCCAAACAAACTAAACGAACTTCAAAATTAAGTTTCCTTTTTTATTGTAATAGAAACGTCGTACATGAACGAAAGATAAGCAATTGTATCGCAGTTTTCGTAAAAAACTAGTGCAATATCGGCGTATTTAAACGCTTAGCCTTTTAGTTTTTATATTTTTCATAATATTGTTCTACACGCATGCAGCACCCATACATAAATTTGGAAAAGTAAAGTTGAAAAACTTTCTCAATAATTAAAAAATTACTTTCCTGATTTTTTGGAATTTTCATTCTAATAATGATTCTTTGATATTCAAAATGTCAAAAAAATTCTTGATAAGGATCCAAATAGGTTTTCAATTCTTTTTTTATTCTTTTGGGAATATCCTTAAAATTATATTTTTATATATATACACATACACATATGTATTTAGTATGAATTTTTATTTTACATTAATATTAAAATTATTTCATATCTGTTTACTTACTGTATACAATCGTAAGGATATGTACAATTACAAATAAATCTACATAGAGGCTGTGACAATAACAAAACATTTGGAAAAAATCTGACGTGGTCAGCACATAACCGACCGAAATGTATATTGTGTATATTAGTAAAAGTATGCCACAAAATTATGAAAATGCGTCTTCTTTACAATTTCAAGTACACTAATAAGTTTTTAGTTAACATACCCAGAAAAAAGTGAATTTGTACCGTCCGAATTATAGGAGAAGTTCGTCAGCAACTTCTGGTAACAACCAGAACTCAAACATCAAATTTCAAGAAATTTCGGCAATTCGGCAGATCAGTTTTCGAGCCCTGATCTTTCCAAAAAATTTATATGCTAATTGTTTTAACACCTCGAATTTAAATATTAAATTTCAATAAAATAGGTTGATTATTTCTTTTTATATACACAAAAATGTATAATTGGCCCGTAGTAAACTTCCAGTTGCTGACATCTGATATCTTCTAAAAGTTAAGAGGTTTCGCGGATGGTCGAATAAGATTTATATATGAAATTTCAAGTAAATCTGTTGAATATTTTTTTTCAAAATAATCAATAATGTAAAACAGACCCGCTTAAAAGTCCGGTTCACATGGCCTGATACATCCCAAAAGTTGATCAATCCGAACCGTCGTCGAAAAAAACTTACATATAAAATTTCATCAAAATCAGTTTAGCCGAACTTGAGATATATGCGTGCAGACAGACCGAAAGTTCGACAGGTTACTAAAAATAGTTTATTTACACTTCCCTACCATGGAGAAGTGCGTTCCCACTGAAAACTCGATATGCAAAATTTGCTACCATCACATAACCTACCTTGTTGTATACACAATGCAGTCAGTAAAAATAAGAGACAAAGGGATTAAAAAGCGTTCAAAACAAAATTTTACTTATCCTAAGAAATTATAGAAGTCCAATATTCGCTTCTGCGAATACTGGATTTAAGCGAGTGAATGAAATTGAAGGAAGCAATATTTATTAGCACGTGTCGGAGACAAAAAGAAATCTTTTTGTAGCTAAAAAACATTAGAAGCGCAAATCCTACCCAAAATTTATTCAACGTTTTTGCAATTATTTATGTATGAAAGCTATAATAAACAGAAATTATTTTCAAAATAATCAAAAATTGAATCTTAAAATAAAAACCCCAGCACCGTGAACATCAATATACACATTTTATTTTGACCTACTTCAACAAACAAAAATAAATTATTTCGGCGTTCCTTATGCTTGAGACAATTTATTGTTACTTTTGTTGTTCATGTATTTTACTTATTTTGTTATTGAACTTACCTCTGCGGTTCCTCTACCATGTCTTAAACGTGCTTTCGCTGGAGCCCATACATTTAAATAAAGGCAATCTTCAGATATATTAGTATTAGGATTCCACATTTCTTCACCTTGAAATCCAGGGAAATATTCATATCTGTAAAAGAGAGTTGAAAATTAACAATCGGGTATATAGAAAAAATATGGTATAAAGAAAAAAACTTAAAAAAAAGATTAGACAGTGTCAACTCTGTGATACCCCTATCACTGCTACTACCAAGTATACTTACCAGGGCAGTGCCCTGGTAATGTCTTCAAAATTTATGTGATAGTTTATCAAGGTAATCAGTACTCACACTTAAGTATGTCTTAAGAATTTTATGTATACGCACATATTGTCATTTTTGGGTTTAAAACGGTATATTACTTTTGAATGATAGCTATTGAAAGAACTTGTGCAATCACTAAGAAATTTTATTGTCTTATTTAGTTTAAAATACTGTAAACTTCATGATTTTCGTTCCGAGATGGGGATGGTTGTTAGAATTACGGAGCAGCTAGTCGAACCGCAGTTTTCCTTGAACCAGTAATCGTCGAAAATTAGATAATTCTAGCCTAATGAATTTTTATAGTTGGGAAAGACAAACGGTCGTACAGTCATGGCTAAATAAACTAGGACTTCGATCCTGATGAAAATCATATACGTATGCCTACACTCCTAAAATGATGTGAAATAACAATTTTTGAAAATTTGGTGAGCTTGGCTCAATCAGTTTTTGAGTTATCGTTGAGAGGGATGAACGGATAGACATAGTAAAATCAACTCAGAATTTGACGCCAATCAAACACATACATTTATGCCTATATCTCAGACCATTATTTCTTTATCCTTTAAACATACCTTACTACGTTTATATTAAAATAAATTTTAGAAGCACCGTACCTTGACTCAGTAATATAGCGGAATATACTTTAGATTTAATTGTGTGTAGATATTTTTAAAGAGCAATTAAATTTAAATGAAGGAAAAGGTGTTGTTGTTCCAAATGCCGGGGAGTTTCACTTGCATGTACATTCACTCATATACGTATGTATGCATATGTGTATTTTTATGCAGGTACATGAGATATAAAAAAAACCATAAAAAACAACGTGTTTTTTTGTTATTGTCGTTTTCAAGTTTCCCCATAAAAATCATGTTTCCTTTCATTTATTTCTTCCCAAAATAAATAAAATTGAATTGTGTGAGCAGAGAATGGTTAGAATTTTTCCCTTTTTATTATCTACAAAACAAGAAATACGCGTTTTCCAAAAAGAAAATAAAGAGATTTATAAAAATTACAAAATAACAAAGTTCGGTCAAACTAATGGTTTGTATTGTAGCACTTTTCCCTTAAATAAGTGAAAATGCTGCTTTTAAATACAGTCTGTGTATAGCTATCACACTATTAAAATTATTTTCATTCATATAAAAAACTATTTCTAGGATTGCATATATTTAGGATGACGCATATATGCAGTCTTTGAAATGAAGCAAAAATTAATTTAAAGAGGGGTTAACATAATGCTCGATGTTAAGGGATAATTGTATGAGTTAAGAAAAATAATTATATTTTTTAATGTCATAGAATTTTCCGTTAGCTTTCTGCATTTATAGAAATTTGAAAAAGCTTGCGGTTTCGGAAATATAAAGGTTCGAAAATTCAAATTTTACAAATTTCAAGAGGCGACAAGTTGAGAGGGGGTAGAAATGTAAAAAAAAAAAAATTTCTTGTAATGAAATAAATTATTTATTAGTATCGAAGAGCTGCTAAAATTTCAGGCTCCTACAACCTGGGGTCTAGAAGAAGAACGACATCAAAAATTTGAAAAAAAAAAAAAGGATTTTAGATAACGGTAAATTTGAACGGCCATTTTGTTCTTCTAAAGTTTAACTATAGTATGCCACGATAGGAGAAGCAAGCTACTGCCTTTCTGCGTTTGCAAAATTTGAAAAAAACTTATGGTTTCATTGCAACAAATATTTAAAAAAAGGCCATTTTTAGGGTTTTGGGGGGGTATAACTTTTAGAGGATGGGAGAGAGGGAGAGAGGTAAAAATTTTCTTCTACCGAAATAAGTTTCTATGTATAAGATCTATGCACGTATAAAATTTCAGTTTTCTATCAACATGTCCACGGACGGACGGGCGGATGGAAGGACGGACAAAGTGAAGCTAATAAGCACTTTTTTTCAAAAAATTTTTGGAAAAGTGTTCAAAACAAACCAAATATCATATATGTTGTATTATTTTACATTTATGGATTATTACTTTTATGTTTAAATTGTCTTTCAATTGTTAGTTGAACTGTTCAAAGAGAGATAAAGCATTCAATTTTTTTTCGGCAAATCCATATAACCCAATCCCTGATGCAAATTGTAATTTTAATTTAATATTATAATTGTTAGAAATTTTAAATTCAAAATAAGAATTAGCGAAAACATGGAAATTTATGACAATTGAAATTGGCGTAAAGTGCTTGTAGAAACAGCAATATTTATTATTGTTTTCAGTTTGAAATTTTTCTCTAAGAATTTTAAAGTTATGTATAAGCCAGCATTATTTAAATTTTCAGTTGGATTTCACTCTATATATTCATTCGCACATTATTGACTCCTCAATTACGCAATATATTAAATTTTCTCTGCAAATATAGCCGTTCTAAATATCCTCATGCACAAAATGCCATAAAAATTTTATTCCGCTCTAAATTCATACAGGCACGTTTTCCAAAAAAATGTTGTAAAATTAAGAAAATAAATTTATTTCAATACATACTTTTAAACAAATAATCTCTTTATTGTTCAGAAACTTTCCAAATTTAATATACCGTTATGATATATATTTTCCCGCATACGTTTTTGCACCATATAATAACAAAAATTTTGAATTCAGTAAATCATTCCAGTACCAAGAAAATGTCAGGGTTGCTATATTGCAATTGCAATTAAATTTTATTTATGTTCTTTGTGTTCATATCAACTTCACATTTGGGGTTCATAACCTGGAAAAATATATAGCGATTTGGAACGAATTATTTATAGAGAAGCCTACGCTAGTTTTATTTGAAGACTAACAAACTAATGGACGTCTGAGACTAAGAACCATATTTTAAAATCTTTTTATAACAGATCAAAAAAATAGAAACTGCATTTATGTAATTTCATTTTAGTATTGTACGTTTATATAAGGACTCTAATACAGTAAGATATTAATAAGTTTTAAATATTATCGACATAGATTTTATTTTAAATAATTTTATGTACGAATTTTGTAATCAACAAAACATGTTTTTGGTATAAGCATTTTTGCAAAATACACAGTCAAAGAAAAAAAATTAAGTACTGTTAATCTCTTCCTACATATTTTTATAAATAAACGAGAAAAAATAGTTACCTTGTCAATTCTGTGATACCCGTATGAATTTGTTATCCTATGTGTGATTAAATATGCCACAACTCAATATAGGACAGACTATGACCTTAAGTTGCCGTTTTACCATATTAATTTATGCCAAATTTCAGTACTGTATTTTCAATATTATCTAAGATATGCCCGAACTACTAGTGAAGTTGTATAGGAGCTACTAGAAGGAACCAAGAAATTTCAACGACTTTTATTATACACATTGGCCCTACTAATATATTCGCTTGTGTGACTTGTGTGAAATTTCAATACCATAGCTTTGATAGTTTCTGAGATACAAATAAAATAAATTTTGAAGCTGTATGGCTGCTACCCGAATCTGTACCCCGACCATCTCCACTTTAAATAGGGTTCTGGCACATAATTCAATAAATCATTTGTGAAAATGTGGTGAACTTAGCTCAATTAGTTTTGAGTTATCGCTGGGACGGACAGGCGGACGAACAGACAAAGCTAAATTAACTCAGAATTCGACGCTAATCAAAAACATACACTTGAGTCTATATCTAAGACCGTTATTTCTTAGCGTTACAAATGGTAAGGCAAATTTATTATACCCTACGAATACGTTCGTACGGGTATAAACAGGCCCTCAAATTCAAAATTTAGTAGAATCTGAAAAACCGAAAATGTGCAAGTAATATAAAATTATACAACTTGCTGTAAAAGAAAAAGGTTGTAGGAAGTCATCAAGTAATTGCATATCCAACATGTTTTTGTTTTGTTCAATTAAAAAATTTATAAAAATTTTTTTTTAAATATTAATGTAGAAAATTTACATCGAATGTGTAAAATGTATATGGTCATTTATATCTATATTCAATAGATCTATCTTATCTACCGATACATATATAATATTTAATTTCATTAAATTATCAAACAGCTCCCATTTATATGCAAAAGGTAAAAATAACTTAACACTAAGGAAATATAAAATAAAAATCTCTTAGAGATTTTATTTTCTGCATTTTATTTTCATCATTTCGTCGTTGTTTTTTTTTCTTTCAGTGTGTTATTGTACTGTACTATCTCTTCTAGTGCTAAAGGTAACTGAAGAGAATATAATCAATTTAAAACAGTTAAGTGAAAAATAAAATTTTACATCCCATGAGTAATGACACTCTTTATTAACATTTTGTTTTTGTTATTTCGTTTCTCTCATTCTTTATAATATATAATATACTCTTTTTATTTCTTTCTATTCAAATTATCCTTTATTTTGTATATTTAGAATTTTCTACTTAGTTCTTTTATATCATAGTACTATGATTACATGTTTGAATAAATGTGAGTGTTACTTTTTGGTATACTTAAAGTTCAGTTTCAATTTTCAAAGTAAATAAATTTTAAATAACTAAAAGGATACGATTATTTAGTTAACCATTTATATTTTTGTGTATCCTTGTTTAAATATTCTAATATTAATTTATTATACAAATACGATTATATAATAATAATAATACCATACATGGTTATGTGTAGAGTGCTCATGAAAATTATATTCGTATTGGATAAACGATACCTACGTTTCTTATGTAAGACCTCACAATAATAAACAGGTAGTTTGATCACCATGAAACTTTGGAAAGTTGTTTAGAATATTCCGGTATAATGGTTTCTAAAAAAATGTTAATGTGGACAACGTATAACTTACCGCAAGGCATTTTGTCTAGTTTAGCGAAAATTTTGCACAAAATTTCTAGTAAGCTCTATCATTCTTGTAAGAACTATTCTAGTTAGCTTTTACTAATACATCGGGGAAAATATGGCTCTCACAAAAGATTCAATTCAAAAATTTTTTAGTTATCCAGTAGAAAGTAGGACCCAAATATTAAATCTCAGAACATTTCGTCAATTAGATCGTAAGGTATGGTTAGAAATATAAAATTGTTTGATTTTTGAGTTCTAATAATCACAAAAATCTTATTAAAGTTCATTGTTTTAACGCCCTAAATTTTTATATAAAAGTTTCTAGTAAATTGGATGATTATTTCTCTGAACATGCACAAGACTATAAATTGGGTTTGGTGTAAGAGTTCAGGTGCTGACACCTGAATAATTAATAGAATTAAAATAATAGAATGTAAAAATAATTATAATTTGGAATTTAATCTACAATTCAATAGAAACAATTTTATAGTTAAAGAAGCCGCTGGTTTCTTTCAAATTGTTTACTATTTCTTGTTTTACAAAGTGACTCTTTTTGCCCAGTACTATTAAACATACATTTTTAAAAATAAAAAGCTTAAATAGTGTGAAAATTCATTCTGAATATATTTTTTTGTATTTTACTTAATTTTCTATGTAGTTTTGTTTTTTTTTTACTGGACGGAAAAATAGAAATAAGTAAATTTTCTTTCTATTTTATTACAATCTCAAAATTCCTTTTCTCGGTGGAAAACCAAAAACTAACAAACCAACCATGAATATTTGACTATCAGTAAACGTTGTAAAAAATTAATGAAGAGCAAATTCAAAAGAAAAACAAATAAAAATAAAGAAAAATTTTATTCCTTATAGAAAAGCAGTAATGCACAGCCAAAATTAACAAGAAACTACTGATCTTCTCCTAAAATTCTAGATAAACTTTTTCTCTGTACAATACAAAGACTAACATAAAATTTCTTAAACTTGTAGAATGAAGAAACTATATTTATATCCTTAGAATTGTTGTATTCTTACAAATATATTTGTATGTATTTTTAAGTATTCTCACTTTTTATCTTATTATTCTTCTTACGTATACATAGATTTTTTTTTGTATTTTATTATTGTATTATTTTTGTCTAAATAAATAGAAGTAGAGGAAATTATTTATTTATTTATGATTTGTATTTTATTATTTAACTTTATTTTACGGCTCTGCTCAAAGAATAAATAATGTTATCCAAAAAACAAAATAACTGAAACTGTTAAAAAAACTTCTTTTTATAAGAAACAAAGGTGTACCAAAAACAACTGTTACTAACCTTAAAAAGGATATTCTACTCTGAATGATGAAATTATGTTAATTGTATTTTACCGTTTCTTCTTTTTATTTTATTCTTTCTTTTTTTTATAGCTTATTGGAAAACCAGTGATTCTAATATTATACGGTTTTTCGTTTTATTACTGCACACGCTTATTTTAATAAACTATTTATTAAATTAATCATCATTATTTTAAAACTAAGTTGATCCTTGACATATTATAATGTTACTACACAAATGTTCATGTAACATTTGCAAATTTGCTTGCATCAAATCCCGTAGATTCATTACGATAAAATAATAATCATGTATTTGTAAAAATATGCTAAGTTTACTACAGTTGGTCATATAATTTATTCTAATATAATAGAAGTTTTGCTGCCACAAGAATGCAAAAAATTCATAACTCCATAACTAGTATTTTAACTATTTGAGTTTAGAAAGTTGATATGGAATATGTTATACTCAAAGCTCGAAAGGTCATAATATTAAATTTGAAATTCATCAAAATATAATGACATTATTTATGTAATATGAATGAGTTATATCGGCACCCTGATTTGTTAAAAGACCTCCCATAAACTATAAGTTATTAATAATCAAAACATTATTTAAAATCTACGCTATTAGCATCGAATCTTGACAGTTTCGTTGAAGTTTTTTTTCAACAATAATTATAATTAAAATAATTAGCAAATGTTATATACATAAACTTTATAAATATTAATATAATTATGCACAAGCTTATCAACCTCACATCGTCAAGATTATTTCATACATAACGTATTGTAACAATCGTTATGTTTTTATAGTCCTTTTATACATGAAATTCTAATATGCATTTTTAGTACTTTCATATCGTATTCTTTAAATAATGGTATAATAAAAATTTATTTTTAGCAAAACCATAGATAATAAATTATTAATTAAAAAATTATTTTTAATACAAAATTATACCCGCAAGAATTTATAATGGGCTCAGGCAATCTTTTTGAAATTTTATGGCATTATTTAATTTTATAATTTTATATGAATTTTTTGCAAAAATAAATATTTATAAAATATTGCAGTTTATTTTAGAAAGTTTAGTTATAAATTTATGTAACAGTAAGTTAAGTGTAATTTATAATAACAGTAATAATTAAAATTTTCTTTTACCTACCATTAATTTTTTAACATTGAAAATTTAATAAAAAAATTTTGATAAAAAAATAATATTTTTTATTTTCAAACTATTCAAAATTTAATTTCTAACCTATTTCTGTGCATACTTTTGAAATTAAGAATGCGTGTAGCAGTAAATACAGCGCCATGAATTTTGATGCAAATCGTGAAGGCTATGTTTAATAAGATATGACAATATTCATAAAATATATGAAATGAAACTGGTCTATTTTAAGATTTTTATGTAATACCATTTCACACAAATAATTTACACACACAAAACATTATGATAATCACGAAATTATTATGTCATAAAATCAGAACTTTTATGTCATGAAATGTCATGAATATTCATAAAATAGATCCATCAATATCGTACTCACTTATTTGTTAATATATTTTTACTTATTTTATTAAATATCAAAGAAAAATATATAAGAATTTTTTGAATTCCGAAAGAATATCGCAAGAACAATCGTAAGATGCATTGATAAGATTTTAGGTATTTGTTTAATTTAAACAATATTCAAAAATGAAATAAAAGAACTTTTAAAATTTAAAAGATTTTGGAATTTTATAAATTTTAAATATGCGCCCAGTGTGGAGTTAATAACTCGGCATTTCAGTTAACAATCCGATTGTGCTGCTAATTATAGTTCTTTAACCTATATCAACTTAGCAGTAACATCTGCCTAATTTAAGCAGATTGGCATTCAATTAATTATAATTCTAGTGACTATATAAATTGTTTTTTCCTATTTCTTTATAAATCTTCTTTATTCTCGGTTATTTAATATTTTTTGTCAAATTTTTAAGGTATTCTGCGAGCAAAATGTGGCAGCGCTAACCGAGTTGCAGAATATTTTAAAGTAAAACTTTTTGTATATCATACAAACTTGGTTTTTGAAATTCTTTTCGATTTTTAATTTTTCTGAATCAGACCAGAATCTCTGTCTCGAGCAGTTTTGAAAAAAATTCAATTGGACAAATACTAAAACGATTTTGAATCATTGTCTGACATTCACAAAACCAGATAAATCTGGTGTAATTTAATAAATTCTCCTTAATTTTAAAATTTTATTGATTTATAGTTAGAAAAATTATGAAATTGTTGCGCAGAATTGTCAATTTATAGAATAGTAATTTAGATTTTGCAATTAATTAAATTAATTGTTAGCCATTATACGAGATACAAAATTTTATAATATTTTTTATTTACATTTTTATTATAAAATAAAATTAAGTACTTACCGTTCTTGAATGCAAGTATTTGGTAAACGTGTTGCATCTAATACACCATGCCATGGTTCAGCTGGTAACGGTTTACGAAATCTTAATCCATCAACTGGTGGTTTAGCAAATGGTATACCAGTATAAACATGAATTTCACGACCCTGTACTGTTACAGAACGACCACGTACTGGACCGCTACTTGTTTGTACAACTAATCTATCGATGATACCACGTACAGCAATGATTCGTATTAGAATCAATAAAAATCCAATTAAACTACCCAATATTAATTTATTTTTAGCCATTTCTTATGATTTTCAATATTTTTCAATATTTTATTTTTGTGTTGTAAAAAGAAAAATATTGTATATTCAACAGATCCAACAAGTAATTGATATTTTTCTCCAAATTAAATTTTTAAATTAAATATTTTCAAAAATTTTCAATGTCCAACATATCTGGAATTAAAGAAAAAAATATTATGTAAACTATAAGTAAAAATTCTTGAATATTTCTATATAGTATATTTAATATTAAATCCCGACAGTTGAAATTTTGTATGAACACAATACCCCCTGCAGTAGTTGGTTGACTTTAATCTCTGTACTCTTAACGTAAGTTCAAATTAAAAAGAAATCTACTATTATCGATTTATTTATTTATTAATATTAGATCCCTGCATTAACTCAAATATTGTTTTATATTATTAAAATACCAATAATATACTCACTCACATTTACCTATAATATACACGTATATATACAGGGTGATTCTGAAAGTTAAACATCAACATATACCATTGGTTAAAGGATCGAAAATGCATTAAACTTTTGTTTTTGAAGTTAAGCGCTGTAATTATCAACTATCATTAATTTTTGGTAACAATAGTCACTCGGAAAAACAGTTTGAAGAGCCGTTATTCTGATAAAAGATCTGAATTTTAATATTTTTATTGAAATGTAAAAAAAAAATAACAAAATTGAAGCGAAATTTTATACAAACTTTTAATTTGAAAAACAAAAATTGATCTAAAAAAATTTTCAATTTTTCAAAAGAAAAACTAGAATTTTGTAATACAAAAAACAAAAAAAAATCTAGTAATCAAAAATTTTTTTTCGAAACTTTTCTTGGTAAAGAAAATTGATAGGTTTTTTATTTTTGCCGATTTTTATAAGAAATGGTACCTATATGGTTTGAAATTTTTAAATGCATTTTTCTCAGATTGGGTGCAATTAAAAAATTTGAAAAAAATATTTTCGGAATCTAGACACCATTTGGCATCTGAGGTTATTAAAATTAACCAGCTTGAGCGAATTTTTAAAGACATGCCATATAAATTTTGACATTTATTTTATTAGAAAAAAAAAATTTTAATAGGAAAATTAAATTTTTTTTAACAAAATGGAGTATGTAAATGATTTGGTATTAACATTATAAGGCTAATACATAATTAACAAACAATTTAATGGAAGAATAAGTTTCAAACATATTTCTACAAAAAATAAATTGGCGTACCGTTGATGCAACTAAAGAAGCGCTCCAGTAAAGCAATTAATTTAAAATATGCGATATTGTATAGAATAGATTTGAAAGAAGAAAAACATAAATTTTTGCCGAATTAGGTGAATTTCATAGGAGAATTTGGTGTTCGTTTTGAGAAATTTGTAAAATTTTTGGATAAGGAATTCGTATTTTTCCAAATTTTTCCAAACAAAGGAATATTAAATTGAATTTAATTTTAATTTTATCAATATCTGGTTTGATTTTAATTGAGTTTGTGGCTCACAATATTTGTGGTTTTTGTGCTATATCGTCTGTAACATAAAATTTTTTTAACGTTTGAGGGCTTAAATTAATGTTTAAACAGTTATGAAAAATTCTATAAAAAAGATTTCAAGGTCTTAAAAAATTTCTCACGAAATTATCTAGTTGGAAAAAACTGAAAAAGTAAAGCAAGAGAAAAATTTGATTTTCCCTAAAGTTCGAATGCTTATTATTCCGAAGGTACATAAAATACAGAATCAAGCAGCATGTCTATTTTAAGCCCTTTATAAGTAAAAATTTCGTGAAAATAAGTTAAAATCCCTGAAACTCGGAAACCCTTGAGATTTGGCATCCAGTCTGGAACAAAAGTTTCACCTATTTTCTAGCTTCTAACTAATGGTATATGTAGTTGTATAACTTTCTGAATTACCCTGTATATATAACATAAGTATCGCACATATTGTAAAAATTCAATTTTCTCATAGAACCACTAGAATATTAATTCGATTCTTTTATTTTCTATTATTTTTATTTTTAATACTTTTTAACCTTCAAGGATAAAAAGTATTATAATGGTGGAAACGATTTTACTAATAACATTTTATTCTTAAAAATATATAAAGATATATGTATATATGTAATATGTATAAAAAATTGTTATAATATTAGTTGAAATATTTTCTCATTCCAATAGCCCTCTTTTCAGTTATTTTGTCTGTCCTTTATAATTTATTTTCCTTGTGGAAAATTAAAACGTATAAAAGTGGGAATATGCAATTCTAAAACTGAGAATTTGAAAATCAAATTATTTTATCGCCAACCATACTCACATTTTTAGGCCAATTTTGAATTCCAAAATTATGTAACAAGCGACTAGTCATTGTTTAGTAATTCACTTTTATTACCGTATAATATCGTCTGTACATAGTTGAAATAAAAGGTTTTATTTATAATTCCAGTTACGCTGTAATATTTTACTTACTAAACGCTTGGAAAAGAGAATTCTTCTCTAGAAAGAGAAATGTCAATATTCTATTTTCATAAACTCAATTCGATATTTAAATTGAATTTGAAATTAAACCCTTGCAATTTTTAAATTTTTATAGAATATTTTAGGCCTCGTATGCACGTACTATATTATATACATACATTTGTATGTGAACACATGCACTAGGAGGTATAAACAATTTTCACTGCATATAACAGCTTTGTTTAAAAAAAGTTGAAATAATTGAAAACAAAAAAACAATTTAGAAGAAAATATATGCATAATAAACAAGGCAAATTTAGTCAAATTCAGTGATTGGGTTTCAATTTAAATAATGTAAATCCTTGAAAATTAATAATGCACATATGAAAATTTTTAAATAATGTAACAGATTAGAGCAATAAAGTTCTCTAACTAATATTTAAAAGGACTATTTTATGATTAAAACAGTAAAATTGATAAAACAGATTTCAATAGAATAACTGAGAACTGAACTTTTAGTTAATTACTAACTTCCTTTGTACTAAATTAATTAAGCCAAAATTTCAGTTAAGGTGTTATTGAGAAAAAATCCCATTTTTGTACAGTTAAAAATAACCTATTATACAAAGATGTGTTAAAATAAACTATTATATGTAGTTGCTCAGATACAAAAAAATAAGAAAATAGTATATAACTAAAAGAGTTGCATAATTGCTACAAGTAGTTCAAGTAATATTCTGATTTTACCATATTGAAACAAGCCACTTGCCTTGAATCTTGGAATCTGTGAGTAATTTACCAATTTTAATTTTGAAGACGTAAAATTGACAATTTTTAAAAATTTGCATAATTATAGGCTCAAATTTAAATAACTTTTCTCCATTTCCTCAATGACCGCTTCGAAGGACAGCGCTTCCATTATTTCCAATTTTATCACATATTAGTTCAATAATATTTTAGTAAATTTCATCACCGATTTGTTTTTTACATAGCCTGTTGTCGCATAACTAGAAACAGTGGTCAAAACTAACCGTTGTATGTGAAATCCCTTTTTTTGTTTCAAATTTTTGATATTACTTTTCTCTTCAGTCACTTGATATTAACAAATGGGTTGTTTTGTCAGAACAAAAATTTTTCTTATCTCGTCGTTCTACCAAGATATTTATCGTTTCTTATACTAACAAAATTTCAAATCTCGCCTCCTTATTTTCCGAAAATTCAAACTTTTGCATAATATAATTTTGGCATAATATGTTTGAGTGAAAAATTTCAAGTATATAGACGATTGTTTTTTAAAAATAGATATTTTCATTCGCTTCAGGGACTTTAAAAATAATTGGTTTGATCCAAATCTATTAATAATCTTTCGATATGGAATCGGTGGTGCAGTTTTTAATACATTTACATAAACACAACAACTTATAAAATTTTTTATTCTTGCATTAAAATTTTTAGTTGATAAATTTATCTTTCGCCCAATAATGTCGGAAAATATCTCCAAATGAGCGAAAATTAAAATTTTGAGTTTTATTTTCACTTGTTCAAGAGTTGAGAACTAATAAGACGCAGCCCTTGCCTTATATAATAAAATGATTAAAAAATCATGTGAAATTTTATTTTTCAATTTCAAATTGAAATGTTATTTGTATTTAAAATTAAATACTTTAATGAACCTTTAACATTTTACTAAATTTACTTATTTCTATAGAAAATTCAAATTCATTTTATCGTAAGAAAAAGCAGGAAAAAGAAAATCAAAAAGGATTCCAAAATTATGATTCGATAATAATCCTTTTATGTTTTTTTTTTTTTGTTACCTTAATTTTCATTTTTAATAAAGTGTTTATGAAATTTATAAATCAAATTGAAAGTCTAATCTATAATTTAAATACTCCCATATAATTGTATGAATTCTTAAGGCAACATTTAATATTAGGGTATAATAAAGGTAAATGCCGGGATATCAATTCATTCATTCATTCATTCATTTTATTTATTTGAACTTTGAATCTATTTGAAATTCAAGTTGTTATAACGTGTTGTAGAAGTTCATATTTAATTATTATTCCATAGTATGACTTTTGACCTCTTTTTAACTTAGTTTTGAACTTTACTATTTTTTATTTTACTCACTTTATTCACATTATTATTAAAATTTTTCGATATTGTATTTTAATTTTATCCTTGATGCATGAATAATGCGACTTTCAATGATTTTTCATTTTTTATTCATTTTTCTATAACAAATTTTCCAATTCTACTTTCCTACCTTTCTTTATCTTATTAAAAATATTTCTTTTAGAAAAATAAATGAAAGTAAAGAGTCACTCAGTTATCGTTAAATAGAAGATATGAATTTTTCATTTGAATGAATTTTAATCGAAATTGATAAAAAAGAAAAATTTAAAATGAAAAACATAGAAAATTGTTTTGCTCGTTATTTTTATGGTAATTTTGGTGTAATAAATTCTCACTTTTTTCTGATGCAAGTGTTTCAATTCAATTGTGCTTTTATTTTAATTAGAAACAACCACAATTGCTAAACGTGTTCGTTTTTTTTATATAATTTGTGCTATGTTTCTTAAATTTTTAAACCATAATTGGTACAGCCTAATCTAGAACATTTTCCTTTATTTTTTGAAAGACCATGGAAAATTTAGTATCTTGAATCAACTAATTTGGACTATGGTTTTATAATTTCAATACAAGAAAGTAGTCCGAAGT